AAAAAATCACTTTATGTGTATGTGTCTATACCTATAAGCACCACCATAATAGCTAAAATAAATATGCAAAGATACTGATGATGAAAGTACATTTGTCTAAAAACACCAAACAACTTAGGAATAATGTTTAGCATTCAATGAAAGAGTGCCAAGAATTATGACACGGTTCTTTCTTGATAAGCTCCTACTGGTTCTTCCTATCATTACCTGATCTGTACAGTGCCCTTGAAAAGGACAATGGGGTGACTAAAACCCAAGCTAAGAAGTTAGGCCTTTCTCAAGATGTCACAGTAAACCAATGGCAGAGCCACAAGTAAACTCGAGTCTTCTGAGGTCAATGCTATTTCTATCAGACCATATTCCTGCTATGCTATTATTTTAAATGGATTGTAAGAGACTGCTAAATTAAATGGCATAAGGAGAGTTATATCATGAGTTATAATGAAGAGATACTTCTTGAAATAAATTTCCTGCCATTGTGTATGCGTAAGTGACTACACCAATTGTATGGTTAAGCCATTCATAACTAAAGTCAAACTGTTTCATTATTTAAGTTACACTAAGTTTTCCATTTGTATTGTCAGGGCTAGGGTTTGTCACAGACCCTTCAAACCCATTGTACAGATGGAGTCACCAGACCCCTCACACACAGGTCCATGCTCGGTCATTGGGAAGGATCTTGGGAGATATTGGCAGATGACACGAGCTCAGTTGTCAGGTTCCTTGGCAGCAGCAGCAGCTGCGGTGGTGGTGGCCCCCCTGTGGTCCCCCCCAGGGGGATCCCAGGGGCAGGGGGCAGTGTGAATCAGAGCAGCTTGCCCTTTATACTTAAGTCCAATAACCCAGGACACCTGGGTGCACATGCGCAATTACATTAGACAATAACCAAGGAACACCTCAGCACACGTACATATTTCCATCAAATGTTTGGCAAGATTCTGAACATCTGAGGGGCCCGGACCATTTTCCTATATTTTCCCTACACTTCAGATTGAGAAAAGGAGAACAGGATAATCTATCTAAAGCAGGGGGGATTTCCTAACTTTTAAAAACTCAAACTTTCTTTTTTGTAGCCTCCCTGTGTTTTATGAATAGAAATTAGCCCATTTTAAGACACATAAAGGCAATATTTAATATTTCCATACCTGGTAATAGAAAAGAAGCTCTGCAAAATGAGGAGACTGTCCTAAATAATGTCTAAGGTGATTCTCAATTGAAAAAAAAAAAATAGTGTTATAAGCAGAATTTAATCACTGCCAAAGTCCCACCTTATGATATAATATTTTTTTAATCTTAATGCAGAGAAAGAGAAAATTACTCCAATATCAGAAGTAGATGCTCATTTGGCCACCCTCTGTCTTTGCCTACAAGTCAGTATCTCTAAACATTTGCTAAATTTCACCATAATCCTTGACGGTGTTATTTGAAAATGTCAGCTCTCCTGAGAGCAACAGACTTTCAAATCATACCATGTCTATAAGTAAAACAGATGGCCAAAAGCCTTTCCCTTTCTGAGCTCATGTCGTCTGCCAATGGCTCCTAGGATCTTTCCCAATTACGTAGTATGGACCTATGTGTGAGGGGTCTGGTGACCCAGCCTGGCATGTGAGGGGTCTGGTGACTACATCTGTACAACGGGTTTGAAGAGTCTGAGCCCTAGCCCTGACAATACAAATAGAAACTTAGTATAACTAAAATAATGAAACATTTTGGTTTTAGTTATAAATTGCTTTAACAATACAATTGGCTATGATATCAAGAGTCCAACAATAGCCCCAGCCAGACAATTAGCATAGCTATTGCCCTAACCTGACACCAACCAAAAAAAATTTTATATGATGAATAGCAATAATACAAATTCACTGCAACAACTACAGAAAAAAAAAAAAAACTAGTTAAGCTAGTAAAAACAGTGAAAGAGGAAAAAAATGACTTCTTAGAAAAAATAATTGATTTCTCAAAGGTGACAAAAGAAAAGAAGAAGGGATTTCATTTTGCACTTTCCTATCAGGAAAACCGTGATAGACCATGTAGAAAGTTGTAATTAGTTCACACATAAGGCCCAGAATGTAGGACATCTGTTCACATATTGGCTTGACTGCCTTCATT